CTTCAGTGCAGTGTGGAGCTTAACAAAGTTCTGTTTTGTGTCCAGCTGATCAGGAGGAGGAGAAGAGTCTGACGGAGCAGCAGAGGAAATTTCAGCTACTTGGACTCAGCTCAGCCACTGCAGAGAAAACAATGAGCTCAACACAGAAGGTGACAGATACTAGTGTTAAGAAATACTCCATTAAAAGCTGAAGTACTGATATGTATATTTTATGCTAAACTAAATGAACCTTGTGCAATATTAATGTAATGTAGAAATAATGTATACAATGTATACAATGCCTACATCTTAGACGGTGACGTTGCCTCTAAACATCAAAATGAGCAGGAAGATGTTAAAGTGGGATTTCAGCAGGATTCAACCCTAACATCAGCTGTAGTGGCTCAGTGTGGGGAAAAGGGTCACAGCTCACAATCATTTCTATTGAGAGCTCCAGTAGATTTTTTTAATGTACAGGCTGTGATCAGCTGACCTGCTGCTCCTCTGTAATTCATCCAGATGTCTGCAGATGTTTCATGAGTTTCCTGGCTGATTTCCTTTCTCTACACTGACAGTACACTGTCTTTATATTATACACTAAACTGTTGGTATGTGGTGGAGCTCAGTGAATGAATGTCAGCATCATGAGCTTAAGTTAAGTTAATCTCTGTACACTTGATGTAATCTAACTCTGACATGAGCACACAGTCACTGTGCACCAGTCACACACTGTTCTTTACTTAAATCCATCACATTACAGTAAACTTGCCTGCTTATCCTGCACTAACCTGCAGAGGATTTTACTTGTATCCTCCTGTGGATACAAACCAGCAGAACTCATCAGATCTCTGTCACTTACCATTAATGAAGTTTGCTTTTATTAATAAACAGAGAGCACGGATCCGTGCACAGGAGGATAAAGCAGTTGCTTCTGTTTGCAGTCACCGTGCACCATGTTGTGTTTAATTGTGTCAGTGTTCATTTTTAAACACGTTTTTTAAATCAAATGTTTATGTATACATCAAGATTAATGTTCCAAACAAATGACACTGTACAGCAAATACATACATAGACATGTGCAGCAAAAGAATCGAGAAGATGTTTAACTCTAAATGTTTAAAATTGTTTGTTTTATATCCAAAGTCTGTCAGTTTGTCATTCCTGTTATTGCTGCTGACTAATCACTCCAAAGTGACACAACATGACCTGGTCTGATTTTCTGGTAAACTTGTTTACAGCCCACGGAGACGATACCTGTTCTTTGAACTTTAATACTGACAGAAAATCGTCTCCTTCCAGAAACAAAGGGTAGCATTAGAACTTGTGTGAACAGCAAAACAATGTAGAAGATTTCCTTTGTGTCTGTTGTGTCAGGGCTGCCACATTGTCGACTAGTCACGATTACGTCGACTATCAAAATCGTCGACGACTTGATTTAAAAGTCGACGCGTCGTTTGAAGCTTTGTAAGATCCCAAAGACGCAGGAATAAGTAGCAGGATTTAAGAGTGTAATAACGGACTGAAACAGAAGATGCAGCACTGCATGTACAGGATGCCAGCTGCCGTTAAACCCCGAAGAAGAAGAAAAGAAGAAGAAGAAGAAGAGCAGCTGTGTCCCAGAATTCATAGCGCGGCCCAGCTCGTTTCCACAATGCGCAGCTAGTTGTTTTAATATTACTCTTTTATTCTTTCTGGTCACAAAATAAACGTTAACATATTTTCAGCCGAGAATGTAGCTGTGTAAACCTCAAATATCGCTCAGTTTATCAGACACCACATATTTCAAAAGCGCTCCGACGTTTTCAGAGACGTCTGTTACCCACTAGCTCGATAGCTAGCCGGGGCTAGGTCACTAGCACGGTGAGAACACCGGGACTCCAGGCAAATTGTTTTCAAACCCACCGCCGGTCTTTCGCTACTCAGGTTTAAATATATATGAGTCACTTAGATAAATTAAAAATGTTGTTGTTGGCTTTTTTTTTTTTTAGTATTTTATTGTCCTGAGTAAATCGGTTTGTCTGAGATTAAAGTTATAGTTTTTACACAGCTGAATAAACTCAAGCAGACAGCTGATTATCAGAAGTGTGAGATGCTGGAGAATTACTCCGTTTCCTGTTATATTTTAGATAGCAAGGAGTTTATTAAACTTCACCGAAACAATCTGCAAATTTCATTAAAATTGAATAAACTATCATCTTGTCTTTATTTTTATTAGCACCTTAAAAGCTTAAAGCTGTAAGCTAATGATAGTTATTAGAGCATATCTGCATGGTGCAATAAGCTATAGTTTTACGTCCAGTGGATGATGATCTGATTAGTCGACTAATCGCATAAATAATCGGTGACTAGTCGACTATCAAAATAATCGTTTGTGGCAGCCCTAGTTGTGTCACATCATTTTGGCTCAAAGTTTACTTATTGCTATGTTTGTTTTTTGCTATTTTATTACTACATTGTATGTGCAGCACTTCGGTCTGCCAGTGTGTTTTTAAAGTGCTATATAAATGATGATGACGATGATGCTTACGGAACAGCTGAAAGACTTTAAAACAAACCTGTTACTTTAATGATATTTCTGTGGTACTACAGAGTCCAAAAGGTATCGCAGTAATAATTCATCCAAATTGTAACTTTTAAATGTCATTATCAGCCCAAAGGTTCACAACCAGTTCATCCCTGATAGAATGTAAATATATACAAATCTATAAATTGTATTATGTATATAACTGTGAAACAAACATAATGGACCATTAATGTATCATAATAGTACATTTCTGAATTTGGGGTATAATTCCAGGTGGATGAGTGTCTGTACAGCTCCTCCTGTTGATGTAAAAAAGAAAAAGTAAATGCCAGTTTTTTTAGGTTTTCATGTTGATGTGTAACACAGTAAAGAATTACTTACAGAAATAAATGTCATTTTTTCAACTTGCAGTTAAATTCATGTAACTTAATGCTGATGCTGTTGACGACTGGGGCTCACACGTCTTTTACTTTGTCTCCAGGACTGACTCACCATGGTTGACCCACAGGAAAATAGCCCGCAGCACATTCCTGACTATGACGGCATAGAGGATGAAGCTTCCCCCACTCCACCACCACACTCCCCAGCCGGGAGCCAGGAGGAAGGAGACCTTTTGCAGATGGTAGATGCTGCTGTGCTCTTACAGGATTACTATGAGGTCTTTAAGATTATGATTCAGAACTTTGTATTTTAAATTCATGGTTAATGAAGAATCATAGAAAAATAAGATCAGGAAAAAAGGCTAATGTGGGAGAAAACAACCTCTCATAGTCCTTCCACAAAGCTTTTTGAACAGCTTGATAATAATGAATTTGTTAGTTCAGCCTAGAATTAACAAATGCATGAACTGGTTTTTCAGCATCTCTCTGAGACTGGATGTTTCTAACAATAACAACACACATGTTTTTGTTTGTGTGAGCAAATGAAACCTATCAGATACTGTTCAAACCAGCACATTTCTTCTGTAACCTCCAGTCTATAATTTGTCTGGATTTAAAGATAAGCTTGAAGTTTGCCACGCTGCCAACAGAATGAGTTAGAAACACATCCTGTTGTCATGTGTTTTCAATGCAGGAGATGAAGGTGAGGTATCACAGCTGGCTGATGTCCCTACTGCTAAAAGGAGAGGCGTGAAGAGACCCCAACCCAAGCTGGACTCCCACAGGTAGCAAAGACATTTATATCACGACAGAGGGTTGAAATGCATTAAAATGCGCATTTAAATAGGAATTTGATGTCATCTTGTGTGAGCTGGGACACAAGGAGGCCAAAATCATTGATTGACGTGTGCAGACTGTCAGTGTTGCAGCCAGGTTGAACACGAGTCTGTGACTGCACTGGTTTTTATCACCGTTTCACTAATAATCGTGCACAGAGGCTCAGAGACACACTGACACACAGACTTGTTGCAAATGTTTGAAAACGTAAGTTTGTGGAAAGAACTTTGCACAAAAAAAGTGATGTGATATTATCTGAGTGGCGACACCTGTCGTTTCGCAGAGTACTGCAGCGTCTTCTTACGCTTTAGCGGCGGGTACAAATGACTGCATCTGTGTGATGATGGTGCAGCTTCACTCTGCCAGTCATTTAAAGAAGAAAGACTCTAATACCATTGTTGTTTTCATCATTTGGATGGGCAAAATTCCCAGACTGAAAATTGTCAGAGCGTTGGAGACATCCCTGGATGTGTGTGAGAAAGATGTTTCCAGTCTCTGTACACCTATAGTGTGAACCTGGTTAGTATTGCCAACCATAAGTCAGGCTCGTTCCCAGTAGTCTCCCAGTGGGTGTTCCAGTGGCACTCCTCTGTTACTGTTCTGTTCACAATGTTCCTGGACAGAACTAAGTTATACTAAATCAAAGGATGTTAAATAAGCTTTTAAGTAAGAACGTCGATTATACTTAGGATAAAACTTGCAAGCTGTATTAAAGAAAAACATAGATTTTCATTTGATAAAATATTCAAATTAATTGCAACTTTGCTATATATATATATATATAGCAATTTTTTATTTTTAGATGGAGAAATTTGACTATTTCTGGACTAGACTGCATCTCTCCTGTTCTAGAGTCCAGTGGCGGCGTGCTTTACACCGCTGTGTCCCATTGCTTTGCGTTGCACTCTGTGATGTAAGGCTTGGACTACAGCTGCTCGGCCATGGAAATGGATTCCACGAAGCTCTCTGTGCACTGTTCTTTAGCTAATCTGGAGACCACGTGAAGTTTGGAGCGATGGACTCCACAGAAAATTAGCAACCTCTGTGCGCCTCAGTATCCACTGACCCCCACTCTGGGATTTTACGTGATCCACCACTTGATGGCTGAGTTGCTGTCGTTCCCAAACACTTCCACTTAGTAGCAGCAGTCTGCATGCCTAGGTGCTTGATTCTATACAGCTGTGGAAGTTACTGGATCACCTGAATTCAATGATTTGGATGATGGTGGTGAGTGAATACTCCTTACAATATAGTGAAGTGGATCTAGTGTATATATCCACCAGAAACCCTGAAGGTCGAGTGACGAGTTCCCGTATTGCACAGTTCGTCCAAACCACCAGAGATTCCTCACATTAGTGTGGAGTTTGGTAATAAGAGGCAAAGCATGTAGAAAACATTGATTTCTTTACTGCCTGTCTGATGTCAGCTTCAATTAGGCGTAGTATTTTTGTTTTTGCCTTACACTTGTGATCCAAACTGTTTTTACTTCCTCTTTAGTTAAAGCGGAGCCAGCTGTCTGCGATCTATTGTCTACAAATCTTTAACAGTGACATTAAATCGTTCTTCAGGGTCCTCATTTACCGCAGGAAATGATGTAATGTGATTTAAATGAACCCATAGAAAAGAAATGACCTGTTGATCGGTCTCTATTATGAGCCTTCACCATAAAAATGTGTTTACAGTTTATAACACTAGATGGTGATATGAGACCGTTTCCATTGTATTACCCGAGCATGATTTACTCATCGACTTTAAACTTTCACATTTTAGTCATTAGTCCTCCTTAAGAGGAGCCAATCCACCCCCCCTTTTTTTTTTCTGTCCAGTATAGAAACTAAACAGCTGACATCGTTCGGGTAGTGTAGCTTCCAGAGATCTGAAGTTAACGTGAACTCTGGAGGGCAGTCAAAAGCTTAATTTTTATAATGCAACATACTATTATTTACATACATATTATTTTAATAAGCAGTTTCAGGGTTCGTGCTGTTTTAATGAGTGTTCGATGGAAAACGACACTGAAGGAATTTGTACTCTTGAGTCACATGACAGTAAATAATTTCGAGTATGTGTACATAACACAGGCTAATGTTTAAAACTATGATTATTATTTTGCTAGCTATCAAACTTGCTGGAGAAATGATTGAAATGCACTGAGTGTGATAGAGTACGGCAGTGCTATCACAGCAGTTAGTTATGGCATGGTTATTTATGCAGTGTGCTTTAAACTTGGCTAACATTACTTAGCAGTAGCAGTAATATTAGTGACTTCACTCAAGTGAAAGCTTTAATCGTTAGTCCGACACTTAACTAGCCAACTTAAGCCTTAAAGAAAAACTGGTAAAAAGAGGGACTGATGCATGTGGGCACAAAGAAGCCATTTCTTGTGCTGCTGAAGTTCCCTGGCTTTCATTCAAAATGTGTTTATCGTGAGCACCGACACATTAAACCATTTAAAAATTATAAATGGCTTTAAGCTCACATTGATGCCTGTGGGGCTCTATCAGCCACGGAGACGACAGACACATTTTAGTGTTTTAATGAATGAATGTTTCATACTTTAAGGCTGCCTGTTTATTTAAGGGAGATGAACAATACATTATTATTTGACATAATTCTATGACAGGTGATGGACTGAATAAATAGATTTTAGGTCGATGTTTGTGCGTTTTTAAAGTCTTATATGTTGAATTGAACTGAGTGTGTCATCTGTTCAAAGCCTCCCGTCAGTGCTGTTCTCCATGCCTGTCTTACTGTACATGGTGTTATTAGCACAAACACTTTAAAGCTGATCATTTAGGACTGTAACAATAATCCAGAGAGCAATGTAGTCAAACATCTCACAGTTAGTTTTATTGGGAATGAACTTTGACCTGTTAGGCCCCCAGGGCTTTTCTGAGCTTCCTGCTCGAAAATGAAGAGGCCAAAATAAATGGAGTATTTCTCTGCAATTACAAACTCTGTGTAAACAGTCTTGGTATCAAAATAAAGCTAACGCTTGTGAGCTGTCATCAGAGGGGTAAATATTACTGCAGATGTTACTATGTCAAAGTTACTGGGACTCAAACATAGAAAAAAATGATTATTTCCCTCACCTAATTTTTAAAAGTATTTTATAGCTTATATGCTATAAAATATACTTTGGGTCACATTTAACTCCAGAAAATCATAAATCAAAATATGGATGTTACCTGTCCACAGATTCATGGTGATGTAACTGCTCTTTTAACTGTTTGGTGTTTGTAGAAATGGTTTACAGCTGAGATTCAGAGGCTTCTGTGGACACTCATGTCTGCACTTATATTTCTGACCTCGTGTTATAACCGATTAAATGTGATCTCCTCTCTTTTCCCCCATTTTTGGTGGTGTGGGTGCTTAACTAGTTAAAGTACCAAACATCTGTCTCCTGTTGTTGTGTCACGTAGGAAAGAAGCATCAATATCTGATGAGCAGACTTGTTCATTTGTGCAGATTTCTTCTTTTGTGTGGTTGTTTTTTCCAAGTGGAGATGAGCATCTCTAACAAGTTGATTTGTTCACATTTGCACATCTGCATTTTTGAGAGAAATGAGTTTTTTGAGTTTGTGCACTATATGCATATAAGACAACCATTTCCTTTTTCAGTATTTTTGTGTGGTGCATTTTTCTCTGTTTTAACAAAAGAGGAACAAAGAACATTTAAGTCAACCTAAGACGATTTGTTTTAATTTTTACATGGTCTTACTGAGGTGATGCAAAGTGGAACATGCAAACTGTTTTTTTGGTAATGTGCTGGAAAAGCTTGATAATGGACCTTGAAAGTGCTTAAAGTGCTTAAATTTGACCCTGAACAATGAGTTTGAACCTGCAGTTTACAGTTTCATTTTTCATTATCTCAGCTTTGCCTGTCTTTTATAAATCGTAGTAGACTGAGTGTGTCTGTGTTGACTGAAACCATCACTGTTTCTAATTCTCAACCCTTTCAGGCCCTTCAGCCTCTCAGACTGCTGACATGTTAGGAGACAAACCTCCAGCTGCATCCTCACCAAATGTCATCAAAGGTTCTACTGATGGAGATGAAACTGTAGAAGATCCTGACCTCGAGCCTTCCAACAACACCTCCACGCAACAAACCAGCCCGCTTCCCCCCAAAGACTCTGAGCCCGCTGAGGCTGAGACCGGCCTCAGCCCTGAGCAACAGCTCAGCAACGACTGTGTAGAGGGGGATTAAAGTTCACGTGCAGCAGTTTCTGCTGAAAAGCTTTGGCAGTGAGCAGATTTAAAGGTTTCCCAATGTTCGTGCCTGCTCATTCGAGTAATGTTGTGCATTTCTGGTGGTTTATATCTTGAGCACATGTTCCTACTGTGACGTCAGCTTTGGGTTAGCAAAGACATTTATAATCAATGGAAATAAATGTTTTTCTTATTTTTAAAAGTCCAAATCCTAAACGTATTTACCATGTGTTGGTATCTGTTACAGAAAATATTTGAACTGATCCACAGTTCCTGCTCTGATGCATCTTCTTTCTCCAGTTTCACTATTGGCAGAATTTTGGTTGCAAACATGTTTCTATAAAAGGCCTCTGTGTGTGTGTAGTATGTGAGCTGTCAACTGACCATCACCCTCTTCCAAGCATTAAGTGCTCGTTCAATTATGAACAGTTCTTTCTTAAGCTACTGCAGGGACATGAAACGCAACACGATGAAGTGGCTCCATCTGCGCTAATGAAAACACCATTTTTAATTACAGGCCACTGCACACATATTGAAATAGTTATGTACAGTTCATATTTCTGTTGGTAGTTCTAGAAAACGATCTTAAAATCCACAAACCAAAAAACGCTTCTGATTATTTACCAGTTCAAACAATAAAAATGTCCTTGGTGTTGGTGTCTTCTATACAGGCTCTTGATATACAAACTATAAGATAAATACATCCTAGTTTTATACATCACTTCCAACACAACCAACCTCAGGTGTATTTCATTACTCTACGGGTTTATTTTAAAGTCTGCTAATGAGTGACATGAAGTTTTATCAGTCCGGTGACCTGTCCAGGGCGTATCCTGCCTCTCACCCTATGACAGCTGGGACAGATTCCAGGACGTGCAGAAGAAAATGGACGAGTGGACGTTTTATCATCTCCAGAACAATACTCGTGCTGGGTTTTGTATGAAGTGGTCACAGGTAGTACAATATGTGTGAACTCACCAAAAATGGTTCTATAACACAAGACATTTAATTTACACAAGACATTGATCCCACCAGTGAGATATTGAGATCACTGGTGCTGAGAGAAAAGCCTTTTGTTACCAGACTTCTTTAACCTGCTGCAGTTGACTAGTTTCCTGCAGGATTGAACCACATTTGCAGTGAGTACTAGGTCTTGTCAAAGTAACTGCTGACACTTCACTGGCATTAACACGTTCCCTATCCTCCTTACAACTAAGTTTAACTTGATGTGATTTTAAAAACTAACTTTTACAAAACGTATCCACTGATTCGGTTTGACTCTGGTTTCTAAAAAGATGGCGGGACATGTTTTTACTTAATATTGTGTTTGCTTTCCTGTGACTTCACACACTCGTGTGGTTTGTCCACACACAATCTGGAGCTACAAGAATGACCTGGATGACTCAGCACGAGTGATCTTCAATGATCACCGTTCTGTTAGCGCACAGCGTGCAGTTCTCACAAGTGTCTGCTTGGAGGTAAAGCTGGGCTACAGCGTTTCTATGCTGTTGTTGCCGGGAGGCGTGAAGCCCTTTCCAGATCCATCAGAGCCAACTCTCTGATTTCTTCCAGAATAGAGTACAGACTGGGAGTTTTGCTCTGACGAAACTCTCTTTCCTCTTTGGAGAGTTTGGGGCGCCGGGCTGTCTTCTCCTGAGCCAGCGCCTCTTCATTCTGACGCACCACCTCTTTGACCAGCTGACTGCGGCCCTGAGGGCTGGGCTGCTGGGACTTGGCACTGTGGTGAGGCTTGTTGCTGATGACCTCGAGGTTTAGACGGTCAGCGTGGCAAGTTGAAGAGTGGACAGAAATACGAACCTGAAGAGAGCAGAGAACGTAAGTCACAGTATTCCTCAGTTCGATCACTACACAGTAATGGCACCTACTGAAAATAGTCTAATGGAATGCTATGCAAAGACAGGCCCACTTAAGGTTTGTGACGTAATATATAACAGCAGTCCTCTCAGCACTGTGCGCAGCGTCACAGCTAAGTAGACAGTGGTGTAGAGTGGAGAAGTTTCCGACTGTGCCACAATTTTGTTCATAAATAGGATAAATTGGATACGTATGTTACACACACGTATCCAATGTAACAAACGTTCATCCATCCGTACACGAACTTTCTTTACTGTGCTTTCTAACATTCACACGACGTGGAGACTGGAGCAGAGGGGGAGAAAAACATTCATTAACACTGTGACCTCGGTCAAGTGTCACAGTGAGGTTGTTGTTTTGTTGATTTGTTTGTTGAATATCATCATCATCTCTTTGTTTGATATGATCATAGCTTGACAGCAGTCAATGCTGTGGTGGACAACTTGTGTTTGGGCTAATGTTTCTTTCTATCTTGTTTTGGCCACATGTGTCATCCATCATCATCCATCAGTAAGCTATGTTGTTAGCATTGCCTTTGCCCTTTGACATTTATGACCCCAGGATAAGTCCATGAAAGAAAGAAAAGATGTTGATAACAGTGGAAGCAGCAGTACTCTGTCACTTTTTCATGTCTTAAAGCCAAAGATGTGAGAATAACACACCGTTACTTCAGTTTCTTTTTGTTAGCTAACCTTAGGGTAATGTTTCCTGCTCTTTTTGCTTAAATCACATGCACTTATTCCTCACAATCATCGTGTGTAACATGCCTGAACTTAATATAACTTGACGCCAGTGATGGGCAGCAACGCATAATTAGATTACTTTTTTCAAGTAACGAGTAAAGTAAGGGATTACTGTTGCAAAAAAGGTAATTAGATTACTGTTACTGTCCCGTAAACACGCTGCTCTACTGTGTTACTAAACCGTGAGTTTGTTTGCAAGAGTGTCTCATGACAATGACATAAGTGCATGCGACGTTTGTGGTAACAAACGTGTGCAGAGCAACAATGGATCATTTATCGAGTGCGAGAGAGAGAGTGCGACCGTGCAGCGTTTAAAGGCGTTTATGTGAAAACAATTACCGCCCACTGTCATTTTTTATCTCCCTTTACAAAAAGGTTTGTGTAGAAACGCCACAAACTGGAAGCATTACATTTCTTGTCTTGGAGGAGAGCCCCCCCCCACACTTATGTTTTTGTTTTCATATAATATTTAAAAACAATAAACTGAATAACTTTAAATGATTTATTTTCAGGAATCATTTTCGTCTCATTCATCTTACTGACGTTTTGTTACCTTGAGATTAGCTAACAAAGCAGCAACCACACAACACTTTATCACAACAAGATCATAAAACGTCTCTTAATGTTGGACCACAAAAGATCCAGTAGTCGTATGAACCTGTGATTCATATACACTCATGCATATATATTTGGAATCGTCGCCTTTAGGCGCTGCATTGCTGGAAACCTTCTAAAATGATTGATTAGCGTTTTCTGTGACTTACGGTGATGTGGTCAAACAGTTTGAAGGTGGAGGTGCCACAGCTGGAGGTGGTGGTAATGCGGTCCGGGTATTTTCGCACAGTGCCACCCTGCCAATCACAGCTGCCGTCCTGTCCCGCTACCACCACCAGGCCCTCTTTGTTCTTCAGATACACAGGCCCCCTCACACCATACCTGTGAACAACATGGCTGTGGTCAGAGGCAGCCTTACTTACTCAGTGATATTACTCAACCTGCTTTGCGCCCTGTGATTTTAATCATTACATGGATTCTACAGCCTTCTCAAAATGACCACAGGTTACATTTTAATAAACTGTTAATATTGCATATCCCTGTAACACCACAAGCATGGAGAACACTGATGTTATTAAATTACACTTTCCTTGCAATAAACAAGCAGCAACCTCCAGAGGTTAGCTAAGCTAACGTAGAAGTGCCACAAACACAAGGCTGGCTCCAAAGCACCGTCCCTCCCCACAGACTCAACTTCAGCAATGCAATTAACTTATTTAAAGCCTGGTAGAGAAAAGATTCGGGGTTTTAGCCGATTTTCCCTGCTCACAATAAATGTTTAAGGAATTAGTTTAGTAAATTTATACAATTTAAAACTCATTTTGAGGTTTTTTAAGAGAAAATAAAACTAGCGTGTATACTGTTAAATATACATTGATTAGCGTGCAATTACATCTTCCAACAAATTCATTCATTGTCATAAACTTTGAATTCGTCTATTAAAAATACACGAGTGGTTGGCCGTCTGTGAGCTGCTGTACAGCTCCATTAAACAAAGGAAAAGAAGAAGACTGCAGAACAAAACACAGGACTGAAGGTTCTTACTCTGGGATAAACACCAAGACACCGTTGTCTCGAATGGAGTAGACAACAGCGTCAGCCACACAGCACGGGTCTGTCTGAGGGTCTCGTTCTCTGAAAAACAGACACTGAAACAGTGCTGTGGATCGCATTTGGGCTGCCTGTGCTGCCTGCAAATGAAACACAGACGTCAGCACAGCTTCTGTTAATAGAGTAAGAGGTGAATCATTGAAAAACACAAACAATAAAACACCCCTGACCCTGTTCTTGCTGTTGACATGGTGAGCCATTTCCTCCACTTCTTTGTTACTGGCTGGTGCTTTACCAGATACAACGCCCCTCTGCATGTGCAGGGCTGCGGTAAGAAGGCGGTGCACGACAATGTCTGCGTACCGACGGATGGGTGAGGTAAAGTGTGTGTAGCGATCCAGAGCCAGACCTACGACAACGAAGCAAATATCAGCACGTTAGCCTTCTTTCTAGTTCTCAGTCGAATAATTCTTCACAAACAACAGACGTTGGACAAGTGTGTGCAGACGTGTGATGGATGGACTGACCCACAGTCACACTGAAACTCTAGTGCAGCCAATAAAAGCTGTGCAGCGGTATCGTACCATAATGGTAGTATTGGTCTTGAGGATGAGCACCAGTGGAGAAGTACAGAGCCTGTGACATAGCAGTGGTGGCCATCATTCTGAACAACCTGTTCACCAAGGGGTCCTGTGGGTCCACAGCTCGGTCCAGTGAGGCAGCTAAAGCCTTGTTGGACCTGAAGGAACAGAGCCAGAAACCAGGGATGAGTGAGGCCTCTCATCTCAGCAGTCAGTGACACAAAGCTACTTGCATCACCATGTCTCTTGTCCTGGGACCGGTTCTGCTGTTGGTTTAACCCCCCCCCCCACAATCCTCCAACCGCACATTCATATTTTGTTTTCAAACTCCATTGCAGTTCATTCCACGCCTCAGATCCTCAGACCTTTTGTAAACAGTTAAACAAATAAAAGTTAACTGTAATAGATTACAGGTTGTAATTAAATAAATCACTGCCTCTTTTAAAAAACAGAAAAACAAACCATCTTTAATTATTTGAGTTGTTTGTTTTGTTCCCGTGTGAGAATATTCAACACTGCTCTCTGTGCAAAACGGGTTTAAAAGCATAAACAGCTGTGGGATCCTGTTTGTCCGGGATTTGAACCGGGGAACAAACTGCGGCAGGATCAGCGTTGTGCCGAGGTCGGCATCGCCGACAGCATGTGTTCCCCTGCGTGGCGAGCGTTCGCTGGGCACGGAGTGTGGATCCAGGTTACGCCGCCTCCATTACAAACAGTCAGACGTGGAAGTAGTGATGTTTTAGTTTTGTAAAAAAGTGAAACCTGAGTGTCGTTACATTACCATTCAGTTTAAGGGTTACAACAGAAAATGAAATATTTATTGTCCTCTCGTGGTATCAGACGGGATTATTTTAACAAACGAAGGACATTTTGCCTGATAATTATATTTATCCTGTAACTTTACTGTGTAAAGAGCTAAAACCTCCAAAGTTTCAGGAGTAGTTAGTCGTTATAAGAAGTGTTTGTGAACTGAAAATCAAGAATGTGGGATCCTGTTTGTCCGTGATTTGGACAGCCCAGCGTGTGCTCCCGACGCAGGGGAAACTAATTCTGTCGGGGAGACCGACCTTGCCACGACAGCTGTTGTGAAGCTGAAGCCAAAGGCAAGATATGCTTCATCATATGTTCTAGTCTTTGGTTTGGAAGCATATTTGGCTTCAACCTCAACCTGAGCTGAAGGAACATGTCTTCTTCTTGTCTGACTGCTCATGTGACACCTGAGTGTGTCCCCGTGTTATCAAACATTTCAGGTTCACACACTTGTGTGTCTGAACATGATGTGCGTTGGACTACAATATGCATTTCCTCAGTTTCTATACTGAACAGTCAAAAACATTACCTGGTGTCAATGGTGAAACCTTTGGCCTTTGCAGTGTCCACCAGCTGGTTGAATAGCTCCTGTTGTGGTGGTGGGTGACACCTTAGAAGGGCCTGGTTGGGGAAAGCTTCCTGGATCTTGCGGGCCACCCAGTGGTTGGCGTAAATCATGCACTCTGCCACGGTCTCATGGACCTCCAGGGGCTGACGAGGGACCAGGGCCGTAATGTTCCTCTCCTCATCCAGCTGGGCACCCACCTGAAAAGGGAAAATGCTTCTAACGTGACTTCAATGAAAAAGAATATGAAAATGCATCAGTGGGCCACATTTTACTACAGTTTACTTTAACTCAGTTGAACATGCACCATTCCACCGGAACAAATGCTGCACGGAGAACCAAATGTGAATGAATCTCAACCTGAAAACAGTCTACTGTCTTTCCTACGTTCAGCTCTCTATCATACCAGTAAGAACACATATCCCTAACAGGCACACAGCTCTGCTCATGGGCACAGAAACTCCACCGATCTGCTGTTCATGCTTTTTGTTTATAGTGGACAGCCAATCAGAGTTTAAGTTAGCTCAAAGGAAATGTGCCTTAAAGAGAGAACAAAACTTTTCTCAGACTAAGGATGAACTGAGGGGACCCAAAGCACTTCAGCAGGAACCAAAAGAAGCCAGAAAGTTTGGATTTGAACACAGTTTTGGCCGTTTTATATAATAGATCAAGATGAAACATCTGTTGTCCTTATCCTTCAGGACAACAGATGTTTCACCAGCGGTCAATAATCCAGCTTTGTCAAGATAAGAACTTGATTTTTGGGTGGCAGCTCAATCATTAAACACACTTTTAGAAATATATTGGTTTTTCCACTATCCCAGAAGCAACCCGAGAGAATCATTTTTACTTCATATCAATATTCTGTGTGCGTACAGCCATAACAGGAATGCAATAACTGAATAATAAATAAATCCAAGACATCCTATTAGAGAGCATCTTATAGAACAACAGGAATTGTCCATATGAGGTTTTAACAGATGGCCGACCAGCCGCTGTAGATAAATGGCTGTGATCTAATGTGAAAACTGTCAGTGGTTTCACAGTGGAGTGCTTGGTTTCTTTATTCCAATATTCTCACTGAAATGACTTTCTGATAAAATGTTTTCTGCTGAGGAACGTGTTCTGCTTAGACGCCTGATTTTAAAAATAACGTCTCTATTAGACCGTACTATAATTTATTATCGATGAAAAGAAATATATGGTATCCATCTGTAATTCTGTAAATAACACAGCAAAAAACCAAACTAAACATAAAGACCTGGAAGACTCCTGCGTCTAAATTCATTCAGTTATTGTACTGAGTCCTGAACATGTTAGAAATATGGTATCTTCAACACATCAGTGGAGAATCTGTTCCAGGAGTTCAAGCGAGGCTTCTTCCTGGTGTGTGAGCAGGATTTGGTGAGGCTGTTTCGACCAGAGGAGCTGCAGGGAGTGCTGGTCGGCCAGGACGTGCATGACTGGGAAAAGTTCAAACAGGTACAGTCAGCCAAACAGACACAGGCTGTAGTTTCACAGCTGTCCTGTAGCACAATAACTGTGTACTGCATACTGTCAAAAGCATTCAGTCGGCTGCTTTAACACAAATATGAACTTGTGTCACATCTCAGTCTTAATCCAGACTTTTGTATGATAGTATAATATAATAGTCAGCCCACCCTTCGCAGCTATAACTGCTTCCACTCTTCTGGAAAAGCTTTCCACAAGGTTTAGGTGTGTTTATGGGAATTTTTTGACTATTCTTCCAGAGGTGCATTTGTGGTGTCAGACACTGACGTTGGAGGAGAAGGCCTGGCTCACAGTTGCTGCTCTAATTCATCCCAAAGATGTTCTATCTGGTTGAGGTCAGGACTCTGTGCAGGCTAGTCCAGTTCTTCTACACCAAACTCACTCATCCATGTCTTTATGGACCTTGTATTGTGCACTGGTGCCCAGCCATGTGCACACATGCCCACACTTTACACTTGGCACAGTGCAGTCAGACAAGTACTTCTGGCAACCACCAAACCCTGACACATCCATCGGATTGCCAGTCAGAGAAGTGTGATTCGTCACTCCAGTAAACACATCTCCACTGCTTTAGAGTCCAGTGTTGAGATGCTTAAATCACTCCATCTGACGCTTTGCATTGTGTTTGTCAGTGTAAGGCTGGGATGCAGCTGCTCAGCCATGGAAACCAATGAAGTTTGGACATCTGTAACAACAGCAGACTGCAGATATTGGTGACTTAAGTGCACTATGAGCCTTAGCATCAGCTGACTCGCTGTCATTTCCAATTACTTCCACTTTGTTATAATATCACTAACAGCTGACTATGGAATATTTAATAGCGAGGAAATTTCATGACTGGACTTGTTGCACTGGTGCATCCTATCACATTACCATGCTGGAATTCATTCAGTTCCTGAGAGCGACTCGTCCTTTCACACATGTTTGTAGAAGTAGTCTGCATGCCTAGGTGCTTGATTTAATACACCTGTGTCCATGGAAGTGATTGGAACACATTAATTGAATGATTTGGATGGGTTAGGGAATACTTTTGGCAACATAGTGTATGCCTGACCTTACAAACTCTATGATTATAACAGTCATTTTCACTGTTTTCAGAACACAAGTTATGGTTGGAGATATCATGACCGCCACCCCACCATACAGATGTTTTGGGAGGTATTTGATGAACTAACTGAAGAGCAGAGGAAAGATTTCCTTCGTAAGTACTTGCTGAAGCCTCCATTATGATATGTTACTGAAATCACACTGTATCATATAAAACATTAGATTTTTCTACGCTTTACCAAGATACATTAGAGAGCAGCATTGTTCTGATTAATATACTGTAAAGCTGCTTCTAGCTGGTGGACTGAGCCGCCTCACCTTTCACCTGGCTCACGTCACACACCTGGAGAGACTCGACCTCCACCTGTGTTGCCTCACGCGAGATGATCTAGAGGCTCTGAGTCAGTTGCTACCAATCTCACACGCCGGACACTAATCGCATGCTCGCTGCAGCAGTCATGTGACTCGTTGTTTTTCAGTCCAGGTGCTGCCCTCTCTCACTGCACTGACCGAGCTTGATGTGTCATCCAATAAGGAAGTGGGAGGTGTGGTCCACCTGCTGGTCTCCGCCCTCCCTGCGACACAAATGAGGAGGCTGCCATTCAACAGCTGCTACATGAGCAACGAGTCCTTCACTGCTCTGGGTAACACACACACACACACACACACACACACACACACACACACACACTTGTTTATTTATAGAAGTTTTCCTTCAAGTCATTCTCCCTGAATACCTCTTCCACCCTCTAGCCTGAAATGGTGAAAACTTTGTGTTTATGCATCAGCCCTGGCGGTGTCCTATCTGCGCACGGTGGATATTTCCTGGTGTAAAGTGGTTGGCGGTCACTTGGCGCTCCTGCTGGATGCTCTGCAGCCATCAGTCGTCAGCGAGCTCCGTCTTTGCAGCTGCGAGCTCACCACTGATGACATGCAACATCTGGGTAACTAACACACAATGACATTATACTTTTTCTTTTTTGGTCTGTAGTGGATCATTAGGCTGCATAAATGTATATTAAGACAAGTAAAGCCTGAAGGAAATTGATATTTCTTTCATTTATTTCATGCTGCCAGCATCTGTAGCTGTCGTATAAAACAAAACAATGAAACTATTCGGTGTTATTTTTGTCTCCATCAGAAACATTGTGAACAAAACAGTAAAGTGAACAGGCATAAAGTGATCAGTTATCAATGGGTCCTCTTCCTCTGTGCAGCTGCCGTGTGCAGACGGGGCTGTCTCTCCTCACTCCGTGCACTGGATCTGTCCTACAACAGCTTGGTGGGAGACAACGGTTGGTGCAGTCTGTTTGCAGCAGGAGGTCTGGGCTCTCTGGAAGACGTGGATGTCAGTTTGCGACCTTCAACCTCTGCTCTGTGCTCAGCCTGGCTGCCCGCTCTGCTCCGAGCTCTGCCTCAAATGCCGGCGCTGGCTCGACTGGCCATGCAGAGGTGGACAGCTGACTGTCAGGAGAGAGAGCAGCTCAGGTACTGTCTGAAAAAGAGGAGCGTCCTGCTGGAAAGGGATCCAGATTTACAAGACACATCATCAGCATGTAAAGGGAACAGTCAGGAGAGCCTAGAAGAGAGTCAGCCTGAGGAGATTGGAGCGGACCGCACTGGAATTTACTGTCAAAGAGCGACCCACTTTGTTGCTTTATTATTATTTTTTTAAGTCTCTGTTACCACAAGAAGGTCAGTGTTGAGTCAGCTGCATCACGTCTGATGTAAACTGTGTCACACGTGATGGTTTCAGGGAATACTGGGAACTTACAGAGTTAAGCACAGCTGGTGTGGGTTATCATATTTGTCGTCTCTCACCTTGGCTGCAGGGTCTGGGTCTTTCCAATGCAGCAGTCCTAACACTTGAGACACACATGCCGAGAAGTGGGGATACCTGGAAATGGACAAAGGCTTTCAGCAGAGTTTTAAAGCAGCTATTCAGGAAAAGAGCTGTGAATTATCTGCATACCTTGTTAGGTAATCAGCTATTTTGGGGTTCTTTAACAAATCAACCAAAAGGTCGACTGAGTATTTTCTCGTCAGAGTACCTTCACCGTTCACGATGATGTTGAGCACAAGCTGGAGCGTTTGATGGATGTTCTTTGCATCAAAGAGCTACGAGGAAATCCCAGAGATTAGAGACAGGATATTATGTGAATCAGCATGAATGTTGTTTGTTGTTCAACAGATAAAAACAAGAAGAGAAAATAGAAACAAAGTAAAAAAGGAACAATTGTTTCTGCCGTTAAGAAAAAAAAATTGAGTCATGGCAGAGACCTGCAGAAGTCTTGAGTCTCATTTGATGACATTTTGTCAGATTGCCTTGTAATTTAAAAAAAACAAAACTGTTTTTTGAGCAAAAGTTCTCCAGGTTTTTTTGGAGTTCTTTCAAAGTTTTCTTATTTTTGGACGTTAGCTGCTTTTTCACTCTTTTTCAGTCCAGTCTGTGCATCTGAACATTTACAGAAAGATTTCTTTGTTTCGTCTTTAGACACTTTGTTAAACGCAGATCCCAGCAGAGTTCACCTACCTTCTCTCCAACCTTCTCAGGTTTTGTGGATATTATACATGGTTATGCTGAGGATATGTTGGCTACTTTCCACTGGAAATGCCTTTTGGTTAAACTGTCAGCGAGGAATTTGCACTGTTACATTTTTATATAACTTTAATGCAAAAAAAACAGCTGCTTGTTTAAGTGAAAATACACTGATGGGGTTTTTTTCTATTCATGAAACAGGAGTGTGATCAGTTTAATAAAAGAAAAAATAACCATAACCAAGATATGAGGGGAAATCTTGGACAAATACAAGCAGACTGGAGCAGCCAGCGTTCAAAACACCGACGTTCAAGGTAACAGAAGGTTCCCGAGCCACATCCACCCAGCTGGTTTCTGTGTTTCTTGTGTATTTGTGTACACTGTGACTTCATGGCTGTCTTGGGCTCCAGCTCTTGTTTTGGTGTCTCATTAATTTGATTTAATGTCCTGCTTAGTGATAACATCACTCTTGGCCTCCCTGCACTGGCTTCCAATTGAATTTAGGATTCATTTTCAAGTTCTTTTATTGGTTTTTAAATCTTTAAATGGTCTGGCACCTGCTGAAGCCCTATGTCCCCACTCGTTCGCTCCGGTCAGCTGAGCAGCTGTTGCTCTCAGTCCCCAAATCACGGCTGAAACTGAGAGGAGACCGAGCGTTCTCTATCGTGGCTCCTAAGCTTTGGAATAATCTTCCTCTTCACATTAGGCAATCGACATCAGTGCTGGTTTTTAAATCCAGATTGAAAAAGCATTTTTATTCACTGGCTTTTGACTCAGTGGTTGACTGACTTGTATTTTATTGTTTTTCGCTATGTTTATTATTGTATCGTATTTATTATTCTTATGGTATCTATTATGTTTCTATTGTTCAGCAGTTTGGTCAGCCTTGTGTGTTTTTAAAGTGCTATATAAATAAACAATGATGATGATGATGAACATAGTAACGTGTGTTGGGTTGCTCTGTCTTCAGACTCACTGTCAGACTGATTAGACAGTGAGTCTGAAGGTGAGAGTCCTCACTGCCCACGCCTGTCTTTGGGTCTGACCAACACCGTTTCCTGTGTGTCATTCCCCCCTCGCCTTCCCCCCATCCGTCCTGTCTGCACTGACCTCTCCAATAAAGACAAAAGGCCTCATTTTCTGAAACTCTTCCTATCCCATCACCTTGCGAAGAATCACTTCACCATGTTGATTAATAAGGACGGTGGGAATGGTTTGAAGTCTCGTCACAGAAAATGTGCCAAAGGCAAAGAATCTGAGCTTGAAATAAAATGAAATGAAAGATCAGCCCCACACAGGGGTTAAATTCAGATGGAAACTCTTATCACACAAAGAGAACAAGCGAATAAATATATCTGAGTGTGGCCCCTCGACTGTCACAGTGTAGCTGACATTTGATCTTATCATGTGTTAAAGCTATTTTAATTACTGAAGAGAACCAGTGTCAAACTCAGCCCAAGTATGGTTGTACGTTAATCCTTAAAGCAACAACGTTTTTAAAGTTGCAGCGTCATTTTTACACCACACCTAAAATCCCACTAATCGTCCGGGCTCTTCACCCTATGACCACACGCTGGGGTATCTAACACCACATGACCCAAATGGAAACTATGTCAGCTGAAAGAAACCCATCGAAATGTGCAACACTTAAAACTTTGCCTGATTGGAGCATGGCTTCAAATACAGCCCTGAAAACAGACAGGCGGTCGTTGGCATTTCGTTACAAAGTTTCCTTGTTCAAAACTTCTGCTTCATTATAGCAACCGAGTGACTGGGATCTACGAGCTGAGCTTGTGTAAGATGTCTGACACTGGAAGCCCAGGTGAGCGGCCATGAAACATGTTTAAAGAACGGCAGCTGTTTTATCATAATTCTGTGGAGAGCTTCATCCTAATGAGGGCTCATGTCCTGAGCAGGGATGCAGAGGAGGAGGAGGAAGGTCCTGGACACATCAGTGGCTTATGTGCGTGGAGAGGAGAACCTGGCCGGCTGGAGGCCCAGAGGAGATAGCCTCATCCTAGAGCACCAGTGGGAGCTGGAGAAGATGGAGCAGCTGCAGGAGGTGGGGCCTTAAAAGATTCATAAAGAAATAAATCTGTTTAATATCGTAGAGGGAAAAATGACTTTTCAGCTCAAAGACCAAAGTGCTATTCTAAAAAGTTTTTTCTTAGAGTACAGACTTTACATGACTAACCTCCCCTCTTCTCCCCACCTCACATTCGCCCCCATCTTTCGTCCAGGTGGAAAAGACCCGTCACCTTCTGGGAGAGGCGGCTCCCGTGGGAACAGCTCCCACCACCAAGTCCCTGAGTGAGTCTCTGTCCCCCAGCGTGAGCTCCGGCACTCTGTCCACATCCACCTCCGTCTCCTCGCAGATCTCCAGCACCACCTTTGAAAGCGTGAGAAGGAGCTGGCCACCAAGGTGAGAAAACGTGGGCTTAGTGGGCGTTCTTGTTGCTGCCTTCTTCCTTCTCTGCTCGGAGCTGATCGGTCTTGTTCCTGTTGTGTTGTAGTGCCTGCGCCTTCTGACACACACCTTCAATACTGAATACAAGCAGCTGGTGAACAGCATCAGTGACTGCAAGGTGAGAAATAATACAAAGAAATAAAAAAATAGCCTTTCTGTGTCACATCAGGGAGTTCCTATATTGACGTCTACCTCATCCTGCTGTTGTTTCACTTCAGCTTTCTCTCATCTCACCGATCGGACGTGATCCATCCGTGACGAGCTTCAGCAGTGCCACCCTCACCCCTTCCTCTACCTCCCCCTCTCTGTCGGACTCCCGCTGTGGCTCCATGGGCCAGAAGTAAACATATTTTTAGGAACATTGACCTCGATCTGCAAACGGTTATTGACAGGTTATCTATTTGATTCTAACTTGGTGTGATTTGTGTTAAAGACCCTGAGAACAGATCACGTGCCTCCAGTCCCTCCTGCTCAGACTGTGAAAACTTCCGATGGTTCCCACTCTGGAGACCTCCTACCTTGCGCGGGCTGCAAAAGACGAGTTCCTGAACTTGTGCCTGATATTGAAGAAATGCGACCAGGGTGAGTAATGCCATATTAACCCAAATACTGTCACTATGACATGTGTCTCACAGACCAAATGTAAGTCGACACTCATGTTCTCTAGTTCAAGCAGAATGATGTGGATCGATTCAAATTCCTGAGCCTGGATGATTTCAGCTGGAAACAAACCAACTCTGCTTTTCCTCAGATAATTCAATTCAATTCAATTTTATTATAGCGCCAATCACAACAAAGTCCCTCAAGGCGCTTCATAGATACAGAGAAAAACCCAACATCATGACCCCCTATGAGCAAGCACTTTGGCACAGTGGGAAGAAAAAACTCCCTTTAACAGGAACTCCAAACCTCATCAGGGAGGGCGGGCCATCTTCTGCGACGGTTGGTGAGAGAAGGAAACAGGATAAAAACCTGCTGTGGAAGAGAGACAGAGGTTAATAACAGATATGATTCAATGCAGAGAGGTCTATTAACTCATACTGAGTGAGAAAGGAGACTGGAAAGGAAAAACTCAATGCATCATGGGAATCCCCGGCAGGCTACATCTATTGCAGCATAACTAAGGGAGGATTCAAGGTCACCTGGTCCAGCCCTAAATATATACTTTACCAAAGAGGAAAGTTTTAAGCCTAATCTTGAAATCTTGTCTTCTGAATCCAAACTGGAAGCTGGTTCCACAGAAGAGGGGCCTGAAAACTGAATGTGTTCACTGACCGGTGTTGCCAGCTTTGGTGGCTCGTCTCCCGCTCGAAGAGGACCAAAAAGAGAACAATACAGTGTTCAGCTGCCTGGCTGTGCTCTACACACACAGCCCTGCTCTGGTACAGTAAAAACCACATTTACATTTGTTTACATTTCCAATGTAGAGGATGAGTTTAGATCACTGTGGTCCAAGCTTGTCGTCAGTTATAGAAACTGGATGTTGCACAGGAAAGTGTGTTTCCTTACATTTATTTTGTGTTGACAGAAGTCTTTGATTCATATTGATTATTAAAGCGGGCTTTAACCTGTGGAGAAACACGTGTGCTCTTGCTCCTTCAAACGGTTTTCTTCAGAGATTTCTCACTGTTTGTACACATGCTGAGTGGCTAGTTTTGAAAACACTTACTTTACCTTTACTACTCTGCTCAGAAATGCAACCTGTGACCTTACACAGCCCAAAAACTTATCCTAAAACATAAATTAACAAGGACAGAAGCTTTTTACAAATGCTTCAACAGTGTAATTCTAACAAGGTATGCAATACATCTAATGTCAGTTCAGAGGTATGAAGTGATGACACTTTGACATCACTGAATAAAAGCAGTCTTGTCATAATAAGCTTTGCTGTGGACAGTTGGCGCGTTCATGTTAAACTTTTTCTTACAAATAAAAAAGGTAATCAGATGTTAAGTTTGTTCAGTTTTAGTTGTTCTCATCGTGTTGCTCCTCAGATCTCCCGTTGTCCCTGAGCCTGACTAAAGCTCGGCAGCTTGTTTTCAGGGCATGGCAATGCAGATATGAGCTAAATGTGACACAGCAAAGAAAAATCAGAATCAAGAAACCCTGAGCTGACTTTCATGGCTACAGACGTGACATTAAGAGCCTCACAGATCAAAAAAGTATGGGATTTAAACTGCTTCTAGACCTGCACACGTCTGTTTCCAGGGCAGGATATCCATTCCAGTGCAGCAGAAGGAGCGGTCAGTGTGGACCTCGGTGCTGTACAGGACCTCCTGGAGCTGCTTGTCTCCTGGCATCTGGGCTTTCACTCGTATCTGAAGGACAAAATAGGAAAATCAAGTTGCTCTCACTGTCACCTGATTTCCACAGACTGCCATCTGACCACATCCCTGCAGTTGGATCCCACCGCCGTACCTCTAGGATGGGTCTTCTTGTTGTCAACCCAAACCACCCTCTCCTTCAGCTCTGAGCTGAATATATACACATGATTGCTTCTTAAAAAACAAACAAAAACAAAAAAACGTCCCCACACGGAGTGAGACTCAGTCTTGGATGCCCAGATCAGCCAGTGTGGTGTCCAAGAAAGGGAAGGGTTGGTTTGCCAAGTTGGGCTGTACCTCGATGGGCAGTGTCACCAACATGGGGATATCCTGCTCCAGTCTGACGCGCAACATCTTGTTGTGGGACCCCGGGAGCTTCCTGTCTGCCGATCCGCCTCTCCGTCGGCCTGCTCCACAGTCGCCGCCTCCTCCAGAGAGCGTTTTGTGTCGTCTGCTGCCAGCTTGACTTGCTGATCTTTATCTCAGGAGGCAGTGGGTTTTTACCCTCTCCCCCTTTGATCCTGTGCGTTATCGTTTAAAACTCGCTATCTGCATCTTTTGGCTCCAGCACGTCTTTATTGTTAGAGTTGTTGCTTGCTGTGTTCTTCTGCAGGGTGCTGATGATTCATTGTTCTGCTTCTTCTGATGGTAAACGCCTCTGGAAAGCCTGAATATGTGAGCGCGTCTGATTCATACAGAGTTCTGCTCTGCCCCCCCGGACTGATATATGCAGCCAGTGTGAATGTGTGTTATGTATCACTCACATGTTAGGTTCATTAGACTGACACAAGAGTGATGCACAGATGTTGGTGTTTTTAGGGCCAAGTGTGAAAGTGGAAGAAAGACAAATTCTTTTGAAATGTTAAAAGAATGTTGGAAATTTGATCAGAATACAGTAAAAATGAAAGAAACAGATATTTTTCTCAGATCATTGTGTTAAATTGTCATAATCGCCGTGTTCTCTTTAAGACTATCAGCTCTACTCTAAACAACCCTGAAAGCCTCTGCTGACACATGTCATCAGTTCCTTTCTTTCTTTGTAAACAAGGTCGAGTCTGTCAGGTCAGCAATAGTACTTCCTACAGATGACCCATCAGTGTTTATTCCATGACTGTAAACATGTTTCCATTTGTCACTTCAGTCTTTACTCTGAAATACAGGAAATGACATCATGGCTCAAAATCTTTGTCGTTCAAACAATTCTTTATTTAACAATATTTTAACTTTATTTAACAAAATACATTCAATAAAAACTTAAACAACAGAAAACTGATTTTTAATCCAACCACTGAAAAAAAAAGGTAACGACTGAACACAAACAGAAGAACAATTTATAAAGATTAACATGGAACTACAGGAAGTTTGATTCACAGCCTCATTTGAACTTAAACTTAAACTTAAGGAGAGCCGACCTGAGCTCTGTGGAGCCTGATCTCCAGGGTTTTAAGTTGGACTCTGAAACCAGAGGATGTTTCTCTCTCTTCAGATTCACTCTGATCCTGTGATGGGAACGATTTCAGCCCTGCGTGATCGCGCTGATGTTTGCACAGAGCAGATGATGAAGTGAATGTTTTGGCACATTGGTAACAGTGAAACAGTTTATTAGTAACGTGGGATCGTTTGTGTGCAGAGTATGAACTGAGATTACTGAAGCTCTTGTCACACTGCTCACAGCTGTAGTTTCCTTCCATGTGTGTACGTTCATGCTCGTTACGACTACCTGAATGTGAGAAGCTTTTGTCACAGTGTCTGCACTTGTATGGTTTCGCTCCTGTGTGGACTCGTTTGTGTCTTTTAAGGTGACCTGCAGTGGTGAAGGATGACCCACACTGATCACAGAGGTGCTTTTTGACCCCACTGTGAAAGAGTTCATGTTGTTTTAACTCAGCTGATGTGGGGAAGCTTCTCCCACATTCTTTGCAGTATTTCAGTTTGTCTCCAGTGTGTTTACGTTGATGTATTTTTAGGCTGGGTGACTGAAAGTTTTTCCACAGATGTCACAACGAAAGTCTTTCCCACCACCACAGCGATGACAGGGTTGAGAAGTGGATCCATCTGTGTCGCTCTGCTTCTAAACAAAGACACAAAGACAGTGTAAGTCAGTCCTTCAACACTTTTATCCTGAAAGTCGCCTGAAATAAAGAGCATCTCTGCAGACGTCCAATTACATTTTACTGTTTCGATTAACACACTCAGTTTACTGGGCTACAATAACTACAATACTACCACCATAATACTACAGCAATACTTATTTAATATTACAGTAACATCTGACTTACACTTAAATGAAATGAAAACCTGAATAATGGCTCAGAGCTACTCTTCGGTGCAGTAGAAGTGCTAACATGCTAACACAATTTAATGAGCAGACTTGTTCCAAACAGTCAGACTGAACTTACAAGAATAAAATAAAAATACAAACCTCACAGTAACTGCACTTGTAGAGTCTCTTTCTGGTGTGGATCTGTTGGTGTTCTCTCAGGTACTGTGGAGTTTTAAAAGTCTTCTCACACAGGTCACATTGATAAGGTCTCTCCTCAGTGTGGGTAAACATGTGGTGTTGTAACTGTGCGTCTGTTGTAAAGTATTTGCCACACTGATCACACCAGTACACATCTTCTCCGGAGTGAATGCGTAGGTGTATATTTCGGTACCCTAGCCGGCTGAAGGTTTTTCCACAGATGTCACAGCTGTATGCCTTAACTCCAGAGTGGGTAACTAGATGACTCTGTAAGTGGCTACTTCGAGTAAAAGCTCTGCCACACTGATCACAGCTGTAAGCTTTAACTCCACTGTGGACGACTTGGTGTCTTTTCAGGGAATTCTTCCAGGAAAACGACTTTCCACACAAGTCACAGCTGAACGGTCTCTCTCCAGTGTGGATGAGCTGATGTTGTTTTAGTTTAAACTTCCAGGTAAAATCCTTCCCACACTCGTCACAGGTGTATTTTTTCTCTCTCTTGCTTCTGTGAGGTTTGTCGGCCT